CTCGAAGTGCGTATTTTGTAAATTGACACGTTTCGTGGACTCCTCCAATAACCATTCCTGTGAGCACGGATGACCTGCAATACTGGTGATCACAGAATTCGGTTGCTTCTTCAGTTCTTCGAGAGTAATAGCACATGAAACCTTCTCGCTATACAGGGAACAACACAAATGCCATCCCCCTCTCGGCATTCTTCCAAATCGGTCAAGGACCGCTTTCAGCTCCTCTCTTGGCCATTTGCTCTGCGAAACCATGATTCCACAACGAGCACTTGGGGCGTGATCATTCTGTTGTCACCAGATTCCGATACATTGGCAGAATGTTCCGTCACACCATTTACATAGGTTTTTTCATTGTTCCTTTTACCCTCCATTTTATGTCTTTTGAACACAGCCACTCAGAGTCAACTTCTGAATATATAACAAAGTATATAAAATGAGTTATAATGAAAATTTAATATAGTATATATATATATACTATACTATACTATACTTTCACTTTTATTCATTTTCAAAATTTACATTTTGAAGTTTAGCTACTGGAATATCGGAAACGGGCAGCAACGTCATTTGCTCATCTCAGTACTTCTTATGGTGATGTCGATGATAGAAATAATGGTCTGACACGGTATGTCTCGCATCAGCTTTCTTGAAATATTTATTTCCAGAAAATATGCAATTTTAGTTTATCTATCTTATTTTATCCAACTTATTTGCTTCGTTCTCTTCAAAGAAATTTTCGCGGGAGTATAATCCCGAAATTGTGCTCCCTGTCATTTGAAAATGTATTTGAATTATATCAGTTGATGCTAGCTTATTCAATAAATTATGTCATTTTTATATTCATGCTACTATGCTGTTTCTTTGATAATTTCAAGCTCGCTTGACATGTTACGTGTTAAACCGGATGGACTAAGCGCAAATGCATTGTTACCTAGTATTGATTACCAGTCTAAAACCGCATTATTTGACACTTCCACTGATATTATTGTTCAGCAGCTACGTGATGAGCAGAAAAGGTTTTTATATTTATTAAACGTGTGCATTAGGTCTTATTCAAATAAAGCATTGACTTCTGAAAATTAAATTTATGTCTTTCAAGTGAGGTCAAAATTCGTTAATGTGATAGAATTGACAGTTTTCAAAAATATCTGATATTTTCATGCCATTTCTTAAGTCTGCAAGAGCTTCTTTCTAAATCTTGTGATATTTCCGGGAATTTCGATTTTATATTCAATATTTTGAAATTTTTGGTACGGTCATTTTATGTCAAAAAGTGACTTGTTTCAGAAATGATAATTTGGAAGATTTGAATGATATGTTCAAAGAACAAACGGAAATCGCTTTACAAACAAACCATCGTTTGAAGGACGATTTAATGAAAGCCCAGGAAGCGTTAAAAAAGTTAATTCATGAGAGAGAAATAGAGCAGTGCTTGATACGACAGGATAAGGAAGTGATTATTTACAGTCTAATTACTTGACAAAACTTGTTCAGAGTTTAAGACAAAGGAAACTGTAATGATGAAATAGGAATTGTGATATAAAACTCTACAACTTGTAAAAATTAGTCACTGTCTTTAATCTTGCGCTCATATATAAATTCAAGTGTCCTGTAATATAAAAATGCTCATATCTAAACCTAATCATACATTTGTATACCGAGTTATTCTGCACTCTACAGAAAACCAGACGAACAATGGATAGACAGCACCAGAATATGCTAGAATTATGGATTGCTTTCAATGGGATTCAGCGACAGGTTAGCATTTATTGTGAATAGTGCTCACGTTTTTAAAGTTTGTCATAATAAAGAAAAGAAAATTATGCTTTCAGTAGTTAGTATATGGGCAATAAATAACTCTTTGTTAATAAGCTACACCTTTAATTTGATTGCAATCAGTTGTTAAAAATCTACACAAATTATCAATATCATTCCATTATTGTTTCATACCAATCATTGCTCATTGCCGCCAATATATTTTAATTGTTGTGAAGCCACCAATATTAGCCATATAATATTATTCATTGATACAAGTTATTTGTCATGAATACTTTAAGAAACTTTTTACAACAAGTAAACAATATTTCCATAACGACAGCAGTGGATAAAGCAACTTTATTGTGTAATAAAATCTTTTTTTTTAAAACAATACTAAAAGTGCCGAATTTCAAAAATATAATGAAGTATATCTTGTAATTTTAATTTAATCGTAATTTTTCCAATAATTTTTTGATTTCAATTTATTTTGAAATTCGATATTAATTAGTAAGGAGTTTGCTTTAATAACATGAACAGTTAAAGTTGAGCTAGCAAAGACCTGTACAGTGAGTAGGATGATAAAAACTCCGTACTGATATATGATTTTATATAATTTTATTTCATCCCTTTTTATTAATTGTCCAAACAGTTCATGTATTGTAACTATTAAATATTTACATGAACTTAATTCTCCTTAGGTACGAACTTTAAGAACGGAAACAGAAAATGATTTAGATCGTCAACGAACTGAATTTTTGCGCGCTGCAAATAATATGGAAGCTGTCATTCGTCAAACCGAAATGAAGGTTTTCATTACTGTTTTCAATGTCTCTTTTTAAATTGGCAGTTTGATATTAAATTAAAGACTTTTATTCTTTTGTGCTTGTTGTCAGAATGCATCTTTTTCGAAAGAGAAGCCTTATAAGTAAGAAAAGTAGATTGATCTTTATATATGTAAGGATGGAAACTAATTTAAATATAAAACCATAAATGAAAAGTTATATTTAAACCAATGAATCACGATTTTGATTTGTTTTTGTATTTTAGAGGAATTTTCAAGTTAGTCCCCTGTCGTCTATTCTTTCATTAAATTTAATGTAGTAGAATGGAAGCAAAAGTATACGAATTACTGAAGTTTTATTTCCTTAATTGTTGACCTTGTAAATCCACTGATAAATCTGTTACTGACTGTTGATCGGATTAATGTAACCAAATTGAAATTTATGTTCAGCGAAAAAGTGCTGTCTTGGAAGGAGCTAAAACTGAAGGTATTGTGGACGAATTATTACGAAAACATGAAGATTTGGCTGTCCGAAATATTAAGGTCTTACCTTGTACAATGTATTTACATAAAAAATAATGTTCTCTCTAGTAAATAGATAAATTGATTTTGTTATCAATTCTTGTGCATTTTGCATTCAATGTATAGCAGAATTCAGGAGGAAATTTATCGTGATTTAAAATATTTATTTAAGTTCTTATATTTTTTAGTTAGAGCATAGTCTGAGAGATTCAAATCGTCGGATATCATGTATGGAAAGCCTTATCAAAAAAATTACTCAAGAACGTGATGCTGCTAAAGATTCAGTGAAGAGAATTCAATCTATACCTGAATTAGATGAAATACGTGGTCGACGTGCCAGATCTATCAGTCCAGGTTTACCTTAATATTTTTTTAAAGAACTGGTAAAACATATTTTCACTAGTGCGAGATTAAAGTGAAATTTAAATAATAGCATATTTGATAAATACTTGGCAGGAGTGTTAATTAGCTGCATTTAATTGATAGCGATCGTCGTTATCTAGTTGCTTTGGGATCTTTCACTTGAAGGTGAAAGTTAGGTCAAAAACCTTTATAGAAACTCCAAGTATTCATCAAATATTTATAAAATCTCTGCACGAAATGAGTTCTTCGTCTTATCTAACTACTTATTCAAATCGACGATGGGTGCAAATTGATAAAAAAATATTTTTTAATTAACTTTCATGTAATTGTCTGCCATGTTTTAAAATATTAATCTCTGGTATTAATGGATCTGAACATTTTTACATTCATTATAAGGTATTGAAATTGATATAAACTTTTTTCATACAATTTTTTAAATTAAGCACTATTGCAGAAGGTTTCGCAGTTTATTTTAATACGACTCGTTTGGTGCGTACAGCTCTGCAAGAGAAAAATAGCGAGATCACAGCTTACAAAAAAAAGTGTGACGAATATAAAGATAAATTATGGGAGTGTGAAGATCGCTTGACTCGTATGGAAGAATCACGGAAAACAAATGATGAAGAATTTATGAACATTAAAAAAGAAAATGACAGAATGTCAGAGAATTTAGTCTATTTATATATAAGATAATGAGTGTAGTTTCTTGCAAAATTTTTATCGAAATTTCAAAGAAAGTACATGTTGGACTTACTGTTTGAGATAATTCAAAACACTTCCGTTGGAAACTTTAGACGAAGAGAAAAAGAAGATGTTGAGCAGAAATTTCGGCATATAAATGAACGATTTGAGCGATTAGATGCTGAGAGAAATGAGACGCAGAAAGCAATAAGACAGTTTGAAGATAAAATCCAGTCAATGAATGTGTTAGTGATTTTTAATGTGTTAAGTAGATTAATTTGGTGTCTTTTGAATGCAAAGCGGGAATGAAAAATTAATTTTTTTATAATGTGTGTATAAATGTTCCAGTTTTTTGAACATATTTTACATCCTAGTTTTTAATAGCATGTAAATGTATTTAATAGCATTGAATTGATCATTTATAAGTACTCTTTATGACATTATAATTATTGATTGTATTTACGATTTCAGTAATCATCAGGAAACATTGAACGCAATTTCCGTCAAGCAACAAGAAGTACTAGATGAACGCCAAAGACGTTTTGAAAATGAATTGGAAGAACATGACAAAAATAATTTCAAAAAACTTTTGATGCTTGAAAAGCAGCTTGATAAGTCTGGGATGGAAATAGAGGAACTTAAATGTCAGCTTCGAAATGTCCATGCTAACTTTACGGCGGAGTGTCGTAAAACAGCAGAACAAGGTTAGAGATGTAATATTTGTTTAGTGTGATTTTTTGATCAAGACATTTTTATTTTATTTTATTCGTAATTCAAGCTTAATTAAAAAAGAAAAAGAGCATTTTACGGGATGTAATTGGAGTTGTGTAGCTGATGCAGTTAAATGCCAAATATAATTACTTATTTAGTCCTTCGGAAAAAAATAACTGTACAGTTAAATGAGGGTTGCTTTTGTCTAAATGGTAAAGTAATTCGTGATATCAGATAAAATATTTAGTTTGATATTTTGTAATTTTTTGGGAGCCATTGTTTTTCACTCATCATGAACACTAAAAATAAACTTCGTCACGAGAATTTTTTTAAAAATTTCAACAGCCTGCTGTTATCAAGACTTTTTAGAAAGCATCAAGAAAGACCTTCTGTTGATGCTGCAAAATTTGCGCGATGAAAATACAAAGGTTAAGAGTGCAAGTGATGCCAAGGACCAATATGTCGCAGAACTGCAACGAGATCTTGAAGATTTGAGGCTAAAATCTGTACAAGTGCAGGGAACTTTGAGAAAAGTAAGCTGCTAGCAAAAATAAACTGTGTTGTGTCATATTTTTATGTAAAAAAATTTGCTGTTAATGCCTGAAAACTTATTTCTTTCTTCTGTCATTCAAAATATCGCAGTGCATTTAATTATTTTTGCATTCAGTTGAACAGAGAAAAGTCGCTTCTTGAAAATGAAAACACTGTACTGGTAACGAACTTAAACACATTACGTGCTAATGTAATGGAAAATACGATTATAATGAAACAAAATGAGGAGGCTTTAAAAGGTGTGTTTAAAATATTTAATTATCAAGTATGCATAATCTAAAGGACTAATCTATTACGTTATTAATTTTAACTGAGATATATTCAAATTTTCCAGAAATTTTGCTGTGATTTATTGTGCTTGCACTTGAGTATAAAGTGTAGAGTGAACAACAAATTCTGTGTTTGAACATTGTTTTTAAAAAAGCAATGGATATGAAGGTGCGCATCAAGGATGTCTTAGAGACCCGTTTCTTACTCTTATCTTATCATTACGATAAGACTTTGATTTATTAAATTAGGATTGATTTTTTTAATAAATGAAAAAATGAAGTTCATAAATTTTTGTGCAATGAAACATTAATATTTGTTTTGGAATTCGGTTTATGGCAAAAATGTAAAAGCTTGGAGATATTAATCAAATAGATGAAGAAATATCGGAATCGTTACTTGGTTCTAGAGATCTTTATTCAAAAATTAATTGAATCTTAAAGGAGGAAAAGTATAAATTTGAAATAAGCTATCTATTAATTTTTTTTTATTTCCACTATTGATATTAAATGCAGTAGTTTATATTTGATATTCAGGTGTGTTTACATTTTATTTTTGTCTCTTCAAGTTTGAATGTTTCAGAAGCTGCCACGAGAACTACTGAAATTACAAAACAGTTGAAAGATCGTGATGAAAAAATTTTATTGCTGGAACAAACGGTAGTGAACTATAAACTTAAGATTGACTTGGTTAGTTTTTTGGCTTATTCTTAGTTATCAGACTCTCAGTGTTGCAGCAAAAACTTCACGACGATACTTTCAATTGTGCGAGCGCGGTAACTTGAAGACTTGTATATTATTACTTCATTTTGAAAAAACTTTTCCTTATGAGTTGATAAAATGAGCTAATTATATAAATCGTAATGTAATATATTCTTGACCTTTTAGGCATTTGAGCCAATTCACTGTAATGAGGTAAAACAGATCATGAGTAACAAGGAATTAAAGCGAAATGGAAAGGATGTAATGGTGCTGAATCTGGAAAAAGCAAAGCTCACGAAGTAGCCTTAATGATTTTTTTCTTTTGAAAAGTTTCAGAGTTTAGTTTACTCATGTAAGACTTTAACAAACATTCAAATAGAATTTGACTTTGCTTTTGTCTTTAAGATCAATTTTTGTGGATTCATGAAATAAAGCAAGAGTTCTGAGCTCTAGTTTAGTGTGGATTACTGCTAGATTAGTCTAAGCATCTCTTCTCGTTTATTTTATCCTCAAAAACGAATATAAAGAATCAATAGCATGCGGGTTGTTGTTAATTAATCTTGAAAATGCCGTCGTATCGAAAAAACGAAAAATAATTCGTTTAAAATCAAGTAAATGGCTGTGTTTTTGATTTAAAGAAAGTTGATAGATGTGTTTTTCTGACAGTAAATGCATCTTTATCTATATGGTGACTATGTTGTGTGTTGTGTATTATTTGTTTTCTTCAATACGTGATGTAGGATTTATTCTATTGAGCTTAGCCTAAAGGCAGTACCCTTCTATAGTTTTTACTTCATCCTTTTTTTAGTTACTAGCTTTCTTTTACAAATGAAACGCTAGCAAAACACGTTTATCAGTTATTGTAGCAATGGTTTTCAACATACCTGTAAATTCTGTATGATATTCATTGCATTTGCAAAGTTTGCTTATTTCCAAATACTGGGTTTGACTTGAAGTATTTTAATTGACTGTTATAGATTATAACATTAGTCGCATTGTTTGCTGATAGAAAATATTAAGATCATTATTAAATTGTAGATCGACAGTACTGTTTGATATACGCAAATAAAGAATTAAAGGAAAGTGTATCTACATAAGAATATATCTTTTTTTTTCCAAGATTCGTTCTTTAATTGAGGGTTTTAATAGTCCGGAAGTTTGTTTTGATTCACTACTGCTTTCTGTGGCGTCCAAATTAAAGTAACATTAGATCTTTGTGGCTGAAGTGTATTAGTAGTTGATTATGAAAATTATGTTTTTATCACTTCCGTAGTTTTTTCTTCTTAGGTCTTGTTTTTCAGAGAACGTTCAAATTCAGAAAATGAAAATCGTATGTCGAATGCTACAGTTGAGCTTGAAAAAAAAGTTACAGAACTCAAAAAAGCTGTTGAAACTCGAGTTTTTCAGGTAAAGAGAGATTTTATAATGAAATCTTCTGGTAACAGTGATGTGAAAATTTCTTTAGTTGCAATATGCAGTTAGATTCCGTGCAATTTTTGTGAAAATTGGAGAGAGGAGTTTGGTCTCGTAGTTCAATTGTAACTTTCAGGAAGCAGTTCTGTATGATATTTTGGAACAGCATCAAGTAAAAGGGAAGAAGACGTCTCAGTCATTAGCTGAGTTACAACTTGAAGCAGCCAAATTAGATGGTTAAATTCAAAAATATTTCAAACTAAGTCAAAATAATTATTCATTTTACTGAAGTGGCGTGCAGAATTTATCTTTTATGACGTTGTAAATTCCTTTAAAGTATTGATAATTACCCTTTTCATTGGGGGTAGGGGAGGAGACTTTCTGTTTACATCTCAACTTACCAAGTTCAACATTAGAGTTGATGTCGAAACTTAAATGGGTTTCAGAAAGGGAATCGTACAGTGATGTTGTCTGTATGCTTCGTGAAAACGAAGTAAGTCTTTCAGCAATAAGCAATCATTAAAAATAATACTCATAATTTAGATAAGGAAAAGTGAAAGTCATATTAAAATCCCTGTTTCAAAATGAATCCTCTAAATTTAGAAAGAGGCAGCAGGCATCATTGAATCAAGTTTTGATTTTATACGGAGTGTCTGTAAAATAAACGGAGCTGTTTTATCCAAAATTTCACATTACATACATTAAATTGATTAGAATAACAATTGAATTTAGATCAGCTAATTAAATAAAAACCATTTTATTTTATTCTGAAACACAGTTATATTTCACTTAATGCTGTGAAATCCTTCATGAAATATTACTGAAGTGCTGATTGATAATATATTATTTCCGAAAAAGATAAAATTTTTAGAAATTTGGTAGCTCATAAGTTTGTAGATAAATGAGGATAGTATCTTTTTACAGCATAATTTGGAGAAATCATCAGGTAAAACTGAAAAAAAACTGGAGGAACTCTTATTACAAACTGAAAGCCTGATGTTTGAAAAAGAAAGCTTACTTACTCAATTGGATGAAAACAAAAAACGAAGTGAACAAGAAATAACATTATTACGACAGCAACTGAATGCATTTGAAGAACGACATGTTGCTGAAACTGCAGAAAGGGAAAAAATGAAACATGAGGTTAATTTCGACATATTACAAAAAAAAATTAAATTTTCTTGGTATTTATTTTGGTTTCCAGTGGAATCAACTTTCAACTTTGAATTATAGTATAGGGTGTTTCTAGTTTCGTGATAAACTTTTTGCAAGTGGTCAATTTCTCCAAAATGTTATGAATATACGGATTTCATTTTATTTTTGAGATATAGAAATTCGTGTTATCTATTTCAATTTTGTTTGAGCATGTTGATTCTGTAAATTCGATAAATTCTGTAAATTCTGTAAATGTCTTGAGCTGTTCGCTGGTCGATGATATAACCTTATTATAATTTCTTGATTTGCTTCTAGAAAGAAAGCATATTCAATTTGGAAGTTATGGAAATGAAGAACTGTATAAAAACTTTAAATAACAAACTCCATCAAAGTCAAGAAATAGAAAGTACTCTGAAGCGTGAAGTGGTGAATTTAACTTCGATTATTGATCGTGAAAAGACTTCTGTCATGCTGCTTCAATCTGAAGCTAACAAAAGAGAGTAAGTGTTTTTGTAGCCTATGCGATGATCATAAAAATAGCTCAAATGCATGAAACTGAGTACAATAAATGAGAGCAATTTATTTGCTCCATTTTTAATTTACAGAGGTTTTGTTTATTGCTTTTATTTTCAGAACTAATCTAGAATTAGTGAAAAAATTAATTTAAAGGGAAGAGATGAAGTCACAATTGGAAGAAATTGATAAGGAGCGTCAGGAATGGGACGAAAAATTGAAACGAAAGGATAATGAACTCACCGAAATGCGTTGCACTGTTGACATGGTAAAAGCAAAGTCTGTGGAGCTGGAAAAGATGCTTCAGATTGCTGAAATCCGTTTCAATAACAGTTATCTTTTGTTGCCAAATATTATTCAGACAAAGAAGTTAAGCATATCATAAATTAGCATTTAATGCAAGAGTATCATTTTAAATTAATAACAACATGAAGTAATTGGTAATTTCTCAGCGTGTGCATGCCAAAAAGATAATTATTGTTGTAGTTATGACTCTTGCTTTATGTTACTGAGTTTTAAAATAAGGCTGTGCTTCGTTAGCATTTCTTCTTAAAGTTGTTGCAACAACGAGTTAGAAAAGGATATATGTGCGCAATTTAGAGCATCTACGAGCTGATTTTCTGCTTCGTAATGAATATGAAGAAATGAAAAGGCGTTTGAGTCAAACTGAAATTGAACGTCATGAATTTAATGCACATTACGCACGACTACGTAGAGAAAGCATTGCTTTAACGCATAATATTGAGACGGTAAATTTTTGCAAATCTACTCATCATATGGCACATTATGTAGCGAATTTATTGTTTAATGCGCAATATTTATTTAACTTGACATATTGATATTTTTTAACAATGATATTTAAAAATTTTATAACTAATTTTTTAATATTGTCTGGTTGAAAGATGCTTCTTACTAAGCTTAGTCCAGCTTTTCTTAAAGATTTTTGCTGTTAAAATTTTCGGAATTTTTGAGTTTTAAATGTCTGTAGCGATAGAGCACTCATTATTTTTTAATTACTTTGCGGAAGATTTCAATGTTTTGGAGGCGTCACAACAACTTATTTGAAACTTATTGCTTTTGTTTTTTATATCAGTTAAAGTTTTATTTGATTATTTGTAGTTAAAAGCGGACAAACAACGAACTAATGCAACAATACGCCACATAATAGCCGAACGTCAAGCACTGGATGAATCGTTAACAAAGATGGAAAGAGAGAACATGGAGCTGTACAGAAATTGCAATGAGCTTAAAGATCGGGTTTAGTTTACTTTCATCCATATATTTATAATGCTGTAAATATTGTTTGAAGCTTTTTTAGAAAAAATTAATTGGAGCTTGACATTGCACGAAGTCATTTCCACAGTTTTAAGATAAAGTTTTAAAAAATGTCGGATTATTACAAATATTAGTGCCATTTGAACCATCATTCAATCATACTCTTCTTAGATAACCCAGCTGGAAAAAGAAAGCGCTTCATATTTTATCAGTGATTTCAAACTGAGAGCTTTAGAAAATAAGCTGAAGAAAGTTGCAAGGGACAGGCAGCAAGTAGCAAACTTCGATTGTTTATGAAATTGTTTTTGTATACAGTCTTAATTTTATTTAATAGTGAAATTTAGTGTCTATAATATTTTTAAAATTTGTACTCTTTGCCGTTACCTCAAATTATGAATTGAAACCAAAGTTGCATTAAATAATGCTTAGGTTAGGTTAAATGGCTATCATTTTTTTAATGAACATGTTAACTTCATCTTTTTAGCATGATAACTTTAACTGGTAATTTCATCCCTCAACTTTAGTATGGAATTCAAAGTAATGGAATTCAAATTTGAGATTGAGCAGATGTCTAAACAGCGAGAATATCTTTATGTTCGAAAATTGAAAGTATGTGAATCGAAAATTTTGGCCTTAAAACGACGACTGGATGCAGAGAGAAAAAGACGGTTAGAAGCAGGGAATCCAAATCCATCTATGCAGCAACATCAACGAGAATTGGGGTTAGACTTGAGTCATTCTAATTCTTTAATTTACCAATCTTCACAGCATCGTCCACAAGAGCATCGCGAGGTAACTTTAGAAGTCAAGTACCAAGTTTGACTAACAATATTTTTGAATATTAAATTGTTCAATTTTTTATTCAGAAATTAGAAAATTGTATTCTACTGCCTTATAGCTTTCTCTATGAGATTGCTTTTTAAACTTTGCAGGTTTTTTGAGATCTTTATCACTTAAGTGAAACATTTTTTGCATTCTCCATACTTCAAATATAGAGGCTTTTGGTTACATTTATGCACATCGATAAAAATTTACTAACAGCCCAAAAAAGAAAACCATTATTAGTGTTTCCAGAAATTAGTAAAAAATTTTGTTTATAATACTAAAAGTTTTCAAGAAAAAAAATTTAGATTGTTAAAAATAGGAGCACTACCGTAATTTTTGAATTTTCGCGGCAAAAGCATGCAGTATAGTTCGGAAAATTTTGCAAAAATTGAGCTCTGTGATTAAGTCTCTATGTCACTTTTTTTCTGGCTTTTCATTGGGTGTGAATAATCCTATAAATGATTCTGGTAGTGTCTTACATCTAGTTTCAGGTTCTATCGTCGGCAAGTTAGGCGAGAAGAAATGATTAATCTCAAAAACTGAGGATATGATTATGAGTCATTTATATGTACTAAAAAACCAAGATGTTTCTTGGCTCTCAATTTTTATTGTATGCTCCCTACTGTGCCCATCTACTTTGTCTTGGTTTAATTGACCCTTTATTCCTGCTGCTTATACATTACTGTAATCATTTTTTTTTAAATATTTTGCAATTATATATATATATATATATAAATTATATGGTCTTTCCTATCTCATCTTTATATGATATCAGGTGATAATTTTATAACTTGCATTTTTTTAGAAATATTATACATCTACAGCTGTATTGACATGATTGTATAAGCTTATATTCATGCATGTAAACTGCTTGCATCTTTTTGCAAATTTTCTGGCAATTCTTACTGTGTTAAGTTTTTCTTTCTTAAATTTTATATTTTTTGGATCTCATGCGTGCAGGGTTATCTCAGCTTATATCATGTTGTGGGTGCAGTAAAGAGATAATTTGAACTTGCTTAATTTCAGTATCTTCTGCAGAAGGTATTCTTGTAATAGATGTTCATTTTTGCTTTCTTTCCTCGAAGTTATGGATGAATTTGATATTTGCATGCACATATGAATATGTACTGGTCGGATACTAGTTACCATCTCTACATGGATGGAAATTTGTTTGCCAGTACTTTTTCTTATATCTGTTTGCATTTCTTTGTTTACCCACGCATCAAGGGAATATAATGTATAAAAGTGCTTTTTATGTAATCTAATACATGTAATATACGACAGATCTTACACATTTGTTTGCGTATATATATATATATATATATATATATATATA